CAGGATGACGTTATCATGATACCACGGCCGAGGGTTGCCGAGGCCATCATGGGCTCAGCCCATCACAGTCCCCTTCAAGTCTTCCACTACATACAACTGACACCGCCGGATATCCCCCATGCCCCCTCCGTGCCTTAGCCACCACTCCATTCACCAAACCGTCACGTCCGCTTCCCCCGAACTCTGATACCCCTCAACAGCCACAATTTGGAAGTCATGCTTCCCCAACTTCAACCCCTTCTCCTGCCAGACCCTGACATGGTTACCCACGTCAACTGTGCCACTGGTGCGCTTATCCTGACGCACAGCATAGTACTGGTGCTGTACAGCACCTAAGGGGCTCGTAGGCGGGTAGATGATCCTTGATGTCCTGGCAAGCTTATAGACACTGCCGTCGGATGAGTAGCTGCCCAGGACTCGGACATACTTTGACGGGTCGTAGGTTCCGTGGGACTCGATAATGTAGTACTCGGTTTGTGGGCTCGTAGTCCAGCCGTAGATGGAGAGATAGCCGTTGCCGGAGGTGGTGAAGGTGCCGTTGAAGTTGACGGTTTGGGATGTGCCGGGTTTCCTAGAAGACTGTCAGACGTTGGCTTTTAAACAGGGGGAATGGGGAATAAGTCGGTATACCAGCCCTTGCCGCCGTAAAAGTTGCTGCAGTTCTTCCAGTTCACTGCGAAGTTGCCTTTGTCGCCGTTCTGGTAATTGACGGTACCACCACCGTCGGTCCAGAAGGAATAGTAGTAGCCGTTGTGCTGCCCGTTTGAGCTGGGTGTTCCAGCGCGTGCCTGGAGCAGGTCATGAATGCCGTTGGTGTTCGAGGGCAGGGCGAGTGCGCCCGCGGCGATCAAGATGAGAGCCTTGAGGGAGAACATATCGAGATAAACTGCTGAGACTCCGAGTGACCAAACAGCGTGACTGACGAGCACTAGTGTCGCATAGGGTAGGCTACGTATTGGAAGCCGATCAAATAATGACGGCCAGTGATGGCCCCTAAGCACCAGTTATCTGGAATATTGCCGCAACTCTTCTGTACAACACAAGAGCATTGCGGCTCTTTTGACTACAAGCCAAGAGCCCCCCATACTTCTGACTGCTACCAAATTTCCGAAGCTTCAAAAAGTCCCATGAGAACGTAAGCCGGCGTATCGACTCCGCGCCAAGTCTGTCCACATTTGGACGTCTTCCTTCCCAACCCCGGATCTTGGCACGGCACAAAAACCTGAGATTGAGTCGACACGGGCGGCAGATTGCTTTAGCCTGATTCCTCCGATTCAACGGTTCCGTGGGAAGCCTGGCCCACCGAGAGAAATTTCCCGTGTTTTGGACCCAGTCTGCAAAGCACTTATGACACCGAGTAATTGGATGTCACTGAGGGCTGTTGAGTCGGCAACCTCTTGGATGGTCGATGTGACGTTGAACCCGACTGCCAACTGCTCCTGAATAGCTCCATGGCGAATGCCAGGCACGGACCCCAAGGCTTCTCAAGACCCTGCTGTATTGATTGGGCTTAATGATCGTTCTCCGTGGCATCATCCACGGCCACTTTGCTCACCACCACGCACCAACGCCGCCGCCGCCGCCGCCATGACAGCCGCTCAAAAGCCGAGAGCACGCCTGTATTGTGGATATGTCTGGAGGGCGTTTCGGGAACAAATGCACTGTCTCGGGAGTAAGATGGCTCCTGAGAGCCATAGACGGGTAAAAACAGTCCAGGAAGGTCTTGATATAGTGGCGTGGCCAGTGCTCCTACCAACAACCCCGCTTGGCTCAGAAGCAGGCTTACCGAGCTTACCTATATTATTATTATCCTACACCGCTGTGCCCTAGGGCGTGCCGGACCTTCAACAACTTACTATACAGGAAAACCGCGCCCGTGGGCCGGGTGAAAAACCCATATCGACAATCAAGGAAACGACCAGCTAGTTGCACTATACTTCTGGGACTATTACAGGAATAGCGAGGCTTGTAACGGGCTGGGCCCGGTGCGAGCCTCGGCGACTCTCGGCCAATACCAAGACCCCTGATGAGGCTATTCCCACTCGCCCCACAGCACACCGAACCTTCTAGCAACGCGCTCAGACCAGCGCGCC